TGCGGCAGCTCCAGCCACCAACACAGCCACTGCTCAGGGGCCTGCACCCACAGGCACCTCCTCGCCAGGCGCCGCCGCCACCCCCAGGCCCTCGCTCCAAGAGGGGGCTCCCCAGGCTCTGCCAAGTGACATCACTTCAAAACCCTGCCCAACACGAAAAGGAAAGACCAGCCAAGATGAAAACAAAGGCGAAAGGAAAACGCACCACGGACCGGCACGGGGCGCAAGGCGCACTTGGGCAGGAAGGGAAACTTCAGCCGCAGCCTCTTCACAGGGAAACCCTCACGCACCTCCCCGCCACAGCTGCCCCCAGGGGCTCTGCCCCAGCGCGCGCTTTCGCATCCCCCACTCAACCACTACAGCCGACCTGCCCCCGACGCAGCCCCGGCAAAGCACCGCCACCGCCCTCCCCACGCGCGCCCACCCCACCAACGCACTTCCCCGACACCACCGCAGGCCACCAGCCAAAACTGAAAACCACAGCCGGAAACTCGCTGCCACCAGAAAGCGAGCGAGGGAAAGCCGCCGCACCACATAAAGCCGGCCACCCGGCAGCACCCCAAGCACAGCGCCCGCTCGCACCGCCACCAAGCCTGACCAGGCTCCTGCCCAGCACCACCCACGGCCCCACCATGGCTGCGCCCGCAACCCCACAGCCCCGCCTGCGCCCCGGCGCCCCGCCGCTCCTGCTCCTCCTGACGGCTCTCGCCACCGCCTTCGCCTGCCACCACCTGCCTCCCCGACACGACACCTTCCCCTGGGACAGCCTACAGCTCCTCCAGGCCATGGCTCCCAGCCCGACACAGCCCTGCCACCCCCACCAGGCGCCCCTCTTCCCCGACACCCTCCTCCACACCAACCACCCACAGCAAGCCGCCGCCAACGCCCTCCGCATCCTCCAGCACCTCTTCCACACCCTCAGCAGCCCCAGCACCCCCCAACACTGGGACGCCCAGGCACGACACCACCTCCTCAACAGCCTCCAGCACCGCATCCACCAGCTCCACCAGTGCCTGGCCGCCAACGGCACGCTCGCCCAAGGCCCAGGGCCCCGCAGCCTCACGCTCACCCTCGACAAATTCTTCAGGGACGTCCAGCACTTCCTCCGCACCCACCACCACAGCGCCTGCGCCTGGGACCACGTCCGCCTCCAAGCTCGCGCCGCCTTCCAAGGCCTCCACAACCTCACCCGCACCATGCCCAACTAGCCCAACGGCCCCCACCAACCCGCACGGCCCCACGCACCCCCGCCACGACAGACGCCGGGGCAACAACGGCCCTGCACCCGCACCCTCCACGCACCGCTCCTTCCCTTACACCACAACTTCTATTTATCTTCACAACGGGTTTTAGCTATTTATTCCACTATTTATTCCACACAAAATAAAGACCTCTTGCAAAAAGCCCGCCTCTGCCTCTCGTCTCAGAAGCACAGGAACGAGCCCCCGGGGGTGGCGCGGGCGGGGGAAAGGCACCCCGCCACTCAACACCTCCTACCAGCCCTGCTCCAAACAGGGCTCCGCACATCCCGCGCCCGCTCTTCTCTTTGACGCCTCCCCAACGAGGAGGAGCCACTGCCCTCAGCCTCTTGGCAAAACCTCTCACGGGGTGCAGCCAGCGGAGGCGCTACCGCCTCCTTGGCCCTCGTCTCCTCAGCTTTCCCCACCGGCTGGCCCGCCTCACACCGCCTCACCATCAGCTCCGCTCTCCTCGCGCCAACCAAGACACGGGGGCCTGTTGGAGCGCCTCCACACCGGGGCCACAAACGGGACGGCTCGGAGCCTTGCAACGCCTCTCCTGGAAGGAAAGCCTCACGCACCTGGGCTGCTTCAGCCGCCACAACAGCAAGGCTCACAGCAGACCTTCTAGCGGCCTTCCACTCCTCAAAGGGGGCTTAGAAAAAAGATGGGGCCGGGCTTTGAACCCGGCCCGCAGCCAAACACCACGCAGCCGGTCCCTCACCCTTCTCCCCCGCCCAGGGCAACAGGGGAGTCACAACCAGAAAAAAACCTCGTGGCTTGAAAAGAAAAAAAAACAAACGCTTTAGCGACTGCAACAGAACAAAACGGTAACGCAAAGTCCAAACGGGTAACGCACAATGCGCTCGCTCACCCCCCGACCAACGATACGCAGCCCGCCCCCGGCTGCGATCCCCATCCCGACCCCGACCCAACAAAGATGCCGCCGTGACCACCAGAAGCCAGAGAACACTCGTCACCTTTATATCCTGACCGTGATGTCACAGGAGATGGAACACCCCAAGGGCCAAACCCGGCCCGGCCCTCCAACTGCGCCAGGGAACTCTCTCTACCCTGGCCCAAACCCCACATGCCAAAGCCCACGTGCCAAATTTGCCTCAGGCGCTCCGGAGATGCTCTCTCCCAGCTCAAGACCTGGGACAGAGCCTCTCCTGCCAGCCAAAACCAGGACAGCTGGGCACAGACTTTGCCACGGGGCCTCCGCCAGCAGGACCAGGGCTGATGGTTTGCAACTCACAGAGCCCAGATTCACAACAGATACAAGCACCAAGACGTCTTCTACCACCAGCCTGCTCCTCAAACGCTGCAACAGCTCGCCCCGAGAGCTGGGAGGCGCCCCGTGGCGGCAAACTTTCACCGTCACCTTGGACGGGGCTCCCAGAGACCTGATCCAGACCAAGACGGCCCTGCTCGTGGCCGCGGGGCTTGGACCGCAACACCTTTCACGGTCCCACTCAACCCAAAGCCCGCAAGGCCTCTACCAAGGACAGGCACGGCACAGATCCCTTTGACTAGGCTGGCTTGGGCTCCTCTGCCCGCGTCAGTCATTTCTCGCGACAACTCTCGCCTTGCGACGCTTGCTCCAACACACCCTGCAGCACCAACTCTTCTAAGGCCATGCGAACAACCTCCCAACGCCAGCCTACCTCCTGTACTGACGGCACCCAGGGACGCCGAATCAGCACGCGCGTGCCAACGCCCCAGGCACGGCACCCACCAACACAACGGCGCCTGGCCACACCACGGCTCCCCGCCCGACACCATGACCGCCGCCGCCGCCACCACCACCACACTCCCATTTCTTGCCCTGCCTCCAAAAGCTCCCAGAAAACACACGGCCGCCTCTCTCACAACGACACAACACCATCCCTGCTCTTCCCAGGCACCCCAAAACCTGGGCGAGCGCAACCTCCGCCTCCTCCCTGCTCCCTCTAGAGCTCGACAACTCCATCGCCGGGCTCGGCGTCACCTCCACACGACTCCGGGACACCCCTCCTCGAGGGGCCCAGGCCATCCCAAACCCAAGGCCCTTCCTTGGCTGACGGCAAACATCATCTTTCTTGCTCTCCAGCACGCTCAGCCAAGGAGGCAGACAAAACACCCCGACGACCCCTGCTCCGGGGCCACGCGCGTGGCACCACAGCCACGGTCCCAACGCCCCAGCGGGAGCGGCACCAAGACCGACCCTTCCCTTGCCCCTCTTCCGTCTTCCTTCCGCAAGCCTAGCCTCCTGCCTTTCCTGCCCATTCCCATCAACACCCCAGCTGCGGCAGCTCCAGCCACCAACACAGCCACTGCTCAGGGGCCTGCACCCACAGGCACCTCCTCGCCAGGCGCCGCCGCCACCCCCAGGCCCTCGCTCCAAGAGGGGGCTCCCCAGGCTCTGCCAAGTGACATCACTTCAAAACCCTGCCCAACACGAAAAGGAAAGACCAGCCAAGATGAAAACAAAGGCGAAAGGAAAACGCACCACGGACCGGCACGGGGCGCAAGGCGCACTTGGGCAGGAAGGGAAACTTCAGCCGCAGCCTCTTCACAGGGAAACCCTCACGCACCTCCCCGCCACAGCTGCCCCCAGGGGCTCTGCCCCAGCGCGCGCTTTCGCATCCCCCACTCAACCACTACAGCCGACCTGCCCCCGACGCAGCCCCGGCAAAGCACCGCCACCGCCCTCCCCACGCGCGCCCACCCCACCAACGCACTTCCCCGACACCACCGCAGGCCACCAGCCAAAACTGAAAACCACAGCCGGAAACTCGCTGCCACCAGAAAGCGAGCGAGGGAAAGCCGCCGCACCACATAAAGCCGGCCACCCGGCAGCACCCCAAGCACAGCGCCCGCTCGCACCGCCACCAAGCCTGACCAGGCTCCTGCCCAGCACCACCCACGGCCCCACCATGGCTGCGCCCGCAACCCCACAGCCCCGCCTGCGCCCCGGCGCCCCGCCGCTCCTGCTCCTCCTGACGGCTCTCGCCACCGCCTTCGCCTGCCACCACCTGCCTCCCCGACACGACACCTTCCCCTGGGACAGCCTACAGCTCCTCCAGGCCATGGCTCCCAGCCCGACACAGCCCTGCCACCCCCACCAGGCGCCCCTCTTCCCCGACACCCTCCTCCACACCAACCACCCACAGCAAGCCGCCGCCAACGCCCTCCGCATCCTCCAGCACCTCTTCCACACCCTCAGCAGCCCCAGCACCCCCCAACACTGGGACGCCCAGGCACGACACCACCTCCTCAACAGCCTCCAGCACCGCATCCACCAGCTCCACCAGTGCCTGGCCGCCAACGGCACGCTCGCCCAAGGCCCAGGGCCCCGCAGCCTCACGCTCACCCTCGACAAATTCTTCAGGGACGTCCAGCACTTCCTCCGCACCCACCACCACAGCGCCTGCGCCTGGGACCACGTCCGCCTCCAAGCT